CTGCTGCCCCCCTCCCCAAATCTATGGGCTGCTGCCCCCCCCAAATCTATGGGCTGCTGCTCCCCTGCGGTTTCAATCAGCAGAGAGAAGCAGGGATAAGATGCAGCTTCCTATCCCTGTCTCTCTCCATACACAGCGCCACCTACTGGCCGGCGCCGGTATTGCAGTTCATTTTAAATCTCACACAAAATAGCATAACAAGCTGAAAAATCCAGGGGGGGGCAAGTGCCCCCCCTTTCCCCCCCCTGCGGACGCCCATGCTTGGTGGATGTGATGTTTAACATTACTAGATATGAAGGCCTAACTGTGGGTGAGATCAAACATGTGGGGAAGGGGATTACTATATGATATAAACATACATAGAGTAGGCATGTGCATGGGAAAAATTTTCGGTTCAGTTTTGCATTCCGAAATTCGGCACTTCTGCACTTCGGTAACTTTGGCACTGCGGAACGTCAGAACTTCGGCACTTCTGCACCCCGACACTTCGGAAATTCAGAATTTCTGAACTTCTCTTGCAGCCGCTTGGGAGATAACTCCCTAATTCCTACGGTATTAGGGAGTTATCTACCAAAAGGCTGAAAGACCTGAGCGGTGGGTGGGGGCCCTAAATTAGAACGAGGGGGGATCCTAATGTCCTCCCCCCTGACCCCTACCCCTGAGCGGTGGGTGGGGGCCCTAAATACTAATTGATGGGGGACCTAATGTCCTCCCCATGGCCCCCACCCCTGAGCGGCGGGTGGGGGCCCTAAGTAAAAAATTAACCCCCCTCCCCCAGGTGACTAGGGGTCCCCAAATCCCTAGTCACCTCCCTCCCCCAAAAAATTAACCCCTAGCTACCCCCTTCACCCTAAAAATAATGAGGGGGGACCATTTAACTAAGTACCTGTAAAAAAATAAAATAAAACTTACCATTTGATGTTTTCTTTCTTCTAAAATCTTATTTTTGTAGCCCCAAAAAAGGCCAAATAAAAAGCCATAATAACCGACGCACTTTAAAAAAAAGCAAGCGCAAAAATAAATTATCCATCTTCACCCATGGAGGGCTCTGCGCAGACTGAGTTCTGCAGGGTGGGGGAAGGCTTATAAAGCCTTGCCCCGCCCTGCAATTAAGCTCAGAGCACTCTGATTGGTGGGTTTGAGCCATCCGATCAGAGTGCTCTGACAGGTAAATGAAGAGACGGACAGGTAAGTCTCTACATTTACCTGTCACAGCACTCTGATTGGTTAGCTTGAAATCCACCAATCAGAGTGCTCTGTGTCATTTTACACCGCGTGGGAAAGTTCTTTGGAATTTTCCCACGCTGTGTAATTTGACTCATAACACTCTGATTGGTTACTCGTTTTTTTGTTTTTGTTTTTTTTTAAGTGCGTTGGTTATTCTGGATTTTTATTTGGCCTTTTTTGGGGCTGAAAAAAGAAGATTTTAGATAAAAGAAAACATCAAATGGCAAGTTAAATTTTATCTTTATCTTTTTTTAAAAGGTACTTAGTTAATGCCCCCCCCCTCATTATTTTTAGGGTGAGGGGGGTAAGTAGGGGTAAGTAGTAGGGGTTAGTTGTTTTTTTTTGGGAGGGATGTGACTAGGGGTTTGGGACTCCTAGTCACGTGGGGTGGTTTAAATTTTTATTTAAGGCCCCCACCCACCGCACAGGGGTGGTGGCCAAGGGGGAGGACATTAGGTCCCCCCCAATTGGTATTTAGGGCCCCCACCCACCTCTCAGGGGTGGGGGCCAGGGGGGAGGACATTAGGTCCCCCCCTCATTCTAATTTAGGGCCCCCACCCACCGTTCATGGGTGGGGGCCAGGGAGGAGGACATTAGGTCCCATCCCCTCATTCTAATTTATGGCCCGAAGTACCCGAATGTTCAAATTGCCCGAAATTCGTCCAAATTCATATTCAGACCGAAACGAATTGCACATGTCTAATAGAGAGAGATTAAAGGTATTGTTGCTCTGTGGGGCTGGGCTGCCTGTTTGTGATAAATTTATAGTATTGTGTTGTTGCCTTCTAATAAATATCTTTTAATGAATAGACCCATTATGGAAAAAGCACAGAGCACAGTGGACACTACCAAAAAAGTGACAAACTGGAAAGATTAAGTAGAGAAGAGTAGGCAGATATGGAGAATGCAAGTAAGGGGGAAAAAAAGAAGAAAAAGTGATGAGAATGAGCATGTATAAACAATGTTACTAACAGAGAGGAATGGATCATATGGGGAAAGGGATAGTTAAGAATAGATAATCAGACATAGACACTTTGGGGTTTATTCATTAAACACCAATCTGTAGGTAAGTGAAAACCAAACTGCAAAATTTATGCAAAAATATCTAATTTGAAAAATTTGATGTTTATTGAGTAAATATCTGAGGTGACCCTATCATTGCTTCTTACTATTTTAAGACTCTATCACTGCCCATTCTTATTCTCAGACCATATCACTGTACCCTGTCTAGTCTAAGAAGTCCTCACCGAGTAATGCCCCCAAGATAACTTGTGGATCGATGATTTGTTACATGCTTACACCATGTTGCTTGCACAAGCTATCAATGCTATTAGTTAATAATCTTCAATATTTAAATGGTGATTAGTAAAACACCCCTTAACTGTCCCTTAAAATCCTTGTTCTGTTCAATAAACATCTGTTGTATGGTGTATTAATAATAATAACAAAGTGTTTCACCAAAAAAGGTACATTCAGATATTCTATGGTTTCCAAGTTCATCCTGGGGATGTTACTCTTGCACAACATCCAGGGATATTACTATTACCCAATTTAATAGTACTCATTTTATATACCTCGGAAGGAAGAATGGCACGGTCTGGATAGAACTATACTTAATAAGTCCATGGCAGAGGTCTGGTGATTACCTAGGAATATATTCCACACATTCCAATTAAAATACACACATAGAACAATGTAGTTAAAGGATCACTATAGGGTCAGGAACACAAATGTGTATTCCTGACCCTATAGTGTTAAAACCACCATTTAGGCGGTTTGCTCTTCCTTTCTCCCATTAAAAGGTAAGAAAAAACTCCTCTGATCCACCTCCTTCACTGACATCACCACAATTGATGATCTCAGCCAATCCAATGGTTTCTCTTATGAAAAGCATTGGATTGGCTGAGATTGTCAAGGAGACAGGGCGGTGGCAGGGCCAAACGCCATCCTGGTTAATTAGCAACTCCTCATAGAGATGCATTGCACAGTACTCAGCCAATTCTAGTATTTAGAAGTGTTGATACTTATGACCACTGTGTGAAATAAATTATTGAGCGCAAAAGAAACAAGCATCCTCAAAGCCCCACAATTTGTCCCACAGAGAGAAACACACATGCAAAAGCACATAAGGGCATACACACAAATACACATACACATAGAGAGACACACACAGCCTGACTACACAGACAAAGGAACACGAAGACACAGGCATCCACAGCAACCTATACACAGACCGGCTACATTACCATAGACAAACACAGACAGGCACACACAGGCATAAGCAAACAGGCACACACACAGACACAGCTATACATAAACAGGCACACATACAGAGACAGCACAGGCATGCGCAAACAGGCACACACACAGACACAGCTAAACATAAACAGGCACACATACAGAGACATCACAGGCATACACAAACAGGCACACACACAGACACAGCTATACATAAACAGGCACACATACAGAGACAGCACAGGCATGCGCAAACAGGCACACACACAGACACAGCTATACATAAACAGGCACACATACAGAGACATCACAGGCATACACAAACAGGCACACACACAGACACAGCTATACATAAACAGGCACACATACAGAGACATCACAGGCATACACAAACAGGCACACACACAGACATGCATAGATAAGTGTACAGATATTGCACAGACATAAGGAAAACACACCTGCACAGAAGCACACTATATATATTGATTTCTCCATCATTCCTACCTGTGCTCTGTGCAGGGGGTCATGAGTTGCAGTCAATAAACTTTCTAAAGGCCACAAGCTGCAAATACAGAGTGATGAACATTTTTCTTTGCCTTACACAGGACACAGGTCTTTTAGGAGTCACGTGAAATAAACATTAGGTAAATGTTGAAGAACCGTCTGTATTATGTTTGTTGATCCAATATGCGATGATATAAGAAGCCAAAGAATCTTGTTTCTAGCTATGCTTTTTAATAAAATTACTGAATTTTATTTTCACCTGGATTAAAGGGAACCATTAGTCTTGAAAATCTTAACAGTATTAAAGGGTTTGTAGGGTCCCTTCTGTCCACCCAAATTAGGTTAAAAAATATTAGTTTAAAAGAGATTACCATATTTTTTAGTGTAAAAGACACACCCATGTATAAGACACCTATTTTTTGAGCACAGAATTAAGAAATCAATATTTTTTTTTTTTTTTAATTCTTTATTTTTGTGTGCATTGTTGAGTACAAAACAGCCCGCCTGGCCACAACAGCCTTGCGGGTGATGGTTGTTACAGGACTTCACAACATAGTTTAAGGCATACTTTTGTCTGTCAGTTCCAAGTTGTAATGTCAGCTAGATCTGCACCTTTTATTTTTATTTTACAAGTCAACTAGTGTGGAACTAAGGCTTCCATAGAGTGTATTTACAGTGTATGTCATTCCCCCTCGAGTTCCGGGATCGTGGTATTTCTGGGTGTGAATATCTGAAGGTTGTCGGCCCGTAGGTAGTAGTCAGCGTGTTTGTACCCCTTAATGTGTTCCGTGTTGGGTTTGCGTGTGTGTGCGCATGGCTGTCCTTAGTGTTGTTCGTATCTGCGAGTGAATTATATGATGTCTGTTTATGTCAGCGTGTGTGCGTGGGGCAAGCGTTATCGCTCATGGAGCCCGTTGAATCTTTGTGGTCTATCAATGGATTGAGGTTTTGACTTCTTACCGAGGAAGTCGCGGGGGGGTGGGAGAAGGTATATTCTCCCCGGAGCTTGTGGTGTTCTTTGTCCGAGTAAGTCACGGCTGATGGCGGTCAGTCACAGTTATGGTATTGCGTAAGCTATACTTGTCGAGTGTGTGTGTAGTAATATCGTGCTGAAAACCAATAACAAAACACCAAAACATAAAAACCATAAAAAACAAGCATAGGGTAAAACAGTAGGTGAGCCGGCATGCAAAGCCCTAACGAGGGGGCGGTGTCTGGTTAATGTATTAAAGTCGCTGGCCACCATTAATGCAGTTCAGAACAGCTCATCCTCAGCGCCTGTGGGGGACACATAGGAGGTCGAAGGTCTGGCGCAGTGGGTCAGCTCAGGTTAGGGCTCCGCTTCTCTCAGTGTTCCTAGGAGTGAAAGAGATTACTGTCTCTGGGTTCCAAGTGTGTGGCGTCGTGGGATTCTCCCTTGTTTGTGTTAGAGCTGGCATCCCCAGTGCCCTCAGGAAAGGTTCTGCATCCTGTAGCGAGGAGAGGCTGTGCGTGGCGCCCCCCTTGGTCACTGTCAGGGACCTTGGGAATGTCCATTTATACTCGAGCTTTGCCTCTCTCAGTTGAGTTGTGACTGGGGCCAAGGATCTGCGCCATAGTAATGTGTTGCGGGTCAGGTCTTGGTAAAAGGTAACGTGAGAGTTTTCAAATGTTAGCGGGGTCTTCCCTCTGACCGCCGTGAGAAGCTTAATTTTGTCGGTCACAGAGTGACATCGGATAATGACATCTTGAGGGGCGTCCGTTGGTGCTTGTCTGGCTTTTCTGATTCTAAAACAGCCGTCCAATACCAATTTTTTTGCCTGAGCGGGTGGCAGAAGCGTTGCTATGAGACGTCTGAGGTAGTGGGGTAGTTCTGATGAGTCTACGGTGTCTGGGATCCCCCTTAATTTTAGGTTAGCACGTCTGTTGCGGTCTTCTGTTTGATCCAGTCTCGTGATTAGGGTGGACTGTGCGGCCTGCATATGGTAACAAGTGTCTTTTATCTCTCTCACCTCTCTTTGGAGATCTAGGATGTCCTCCTCTGTGGCCTGTGTGCGTGCGGTCATTGCTTGCATTTCAGTCTTTATTAGGTTGATATCTGCTGCATGCATTCTCCTCATTTCCATCAGGAGGTCGGCAATATCTTGTTTGGTAGCCGGGGTTTGTGTGTCTTGGCCAGCAAGTGACTCGGTGGCTTGGGGAGCGGTGGATATTTCTAATCCAGTCCCATGCTGTTCCCCCTCGTCTGGAGAGGCTGGCGTGTGCTCCGCCGGGGTCGCCATCTTGGGCGCCATTGGCCTCTGCAGCATGTCGCCGATATCTTGGGTGCCTCTGCCGGCGGTTAGTGGAGGCTTTTGGGACCTGCGGCCCATTGTGTAGCCGTCCGGTTCTGCGAGGTCCTTTAAGAGGTAGGTGCCGTGTCGAGCGTCGATTGCTGCGGCCTCCGTCGCGTACCTAGCGGTTTGAAGTGTCAGGTAGGCCCCAGATTTGCGCCGGGTCTTTTTACCCGTTTGCGGGAACTGGAACGGCATTCGCCTGTGCCTTGGGCTCCAGGGGTACTCGGGTAGGTGTTTGGGTCGTCGGATGGTACCCTGGTACCTCGGATTGAAGCGGGTTGTCGTCGATTACTCGGAGCTCTCTGTTAGTGCGTCCGTTCAGGTTCAGCTCCAGGCTCCGCCCCCCAGAAATCAATATTTTAAACAGATGAGGTGACATCTAAGGGAAACAACACACTTCTGATTCTCATGCTCACCCTGTGCTAAGGTACTCTGTGAAGTTAATGGCTTTATATTGCATGCTGGGAAACTACAGGTCCCACAATACAGCAGGTGGTGTGAGGGCATGCTGGGACATCACAGCAGTATTCCACCATTCTTAACTTAGGCCCTGCGCACTTAACCCCTGCAGTGACATTAACTGTATAAGACAACCCCCAATTTTAGACTAAAAAAGCATAGTTTTATGCATGGAAAAATACGATGCTTACCTCGTTTCCAGTACCAGGACTCCTCTGCAGCAGCCACCCACTCTGCTGACATCTTCCACGACTTGCTTCAAATTGGAAATAGGCTTGTACAGCTATCAGCGACATTTCTTTCCAAATAACGTTTATTAAAGTTTTAAAATTTTGTATAACAAGTGATAATAATACAAACATTATATTAGGGGTATCAGCGACATTTCATCCAGGACCGAGGAATACAGCCACCAAAGATGTATTTAACCCTTCTATGTAAATATTGCAGTTTCTATGAAACAAGAATAATACTTTTGCACCCACACCACTTCCTTGAGATGAAATGATCTTGATTACTTCAGTGTTCCTTTAACATTTCCCAGGATGCTTAATAATATGTTTACATATCCCTGATACTTAACAAATATTTTTTTGTAAGGTGTGAAAAATAAAATATAAGAAAGCACACCTCTTTGTCCTGCCTCAAGGTGCCCACATCCCCATGCCAATCATTATTATTATTAAGTTCTGCAACTGGCACCACCAGTTAAAATACTGTAAGCATAAGGAGAGGATAAAAAACAATACAATGGTGGGATTTATCAAAGTGTTGTTTTCTAAAAAGTGTAACGTTCTAAAAATGAGGCAATCACCCTGGAAACCAATGGAACCAACAGGCACATTCCATTGGTGATTTCTCCACTGTTAGATCTGAGCATCACTTATGAGAGCACAACACTTTGATAAATCTCTCCCAATGTTTTCATTTCGCCTCCTTGTTTGTGTGCCAAGCTATGCCTGCACTGAGCTGGAGTGTGATGTCATTTGCTAAAACTTCAACAGAAATAAATTTAAAAAAACAGCATAACATGAAATAGGGTTAACACAAGTTATTGGTGATTTTCTTTCTGTTTTGGAATTTTTTATTTTTACCTGTCTGGGAGACGGAGGTGCATGTAGAAGGATCAATACCTGCCTGGGAGATGAAGGAGTAGGCAAAGGGGTTGATACCTGCATGGAAGGAGGAGATACACTCACTGAGGGGAAAATATAGCATTACCATAGTCTCAGCAAGGATCCCTCTCTGAGGTGGCAGACCAGGGCCGGCGCAACCACTAGGCTAACTAAGCAGCCGCCTAGGGCGCACCGGCCTGGGGGGGGGGGTGCAGTATACTGGTGACCTACAGGAGAGCAGAGCACTGACTGCACAGTACTCCCCTCCTGCCCAGACCCATCTTTACAGCAGTGCAACTGCCCTCTGCCCTTACAAGGGCTCACAGCAAGCTGTCCTTTGCCCCCCTAGCAGAGATGGGAATAAAGTGGTTCTGAGGCAGAAGGCCATCCTGCAATCATTACAGTGACCAGCTGTTCCCCATGCAGACACAGGTGGCACTGTTCTGGGAGAAGGTGATTTCTCTTCACTTCCTCCCAGCATACAGAGCAGCGCATGGGAGAGAGAAGGAGGAGGCTCAGAGAAGGCATGTGTCACGTTACAGAATATTCAGTAAGTATGTCTGTTTACAGCCTGGGTATCAGCTCTTTTTTCAAAAGCTTCTGCTATCTGGACATCATGTTTACCAAACACTTTATTGGGATTTACTCTGGCTTTTCTATTAATATTGAGGATTGTTTTATAAGTAACATCTGTACCCATATTCTTTCACCATTCCTTTCTCTCTGTTCCAGCTTCTTTACTAGATCCCCCTACTCTCTCCTTCTTCCATTTTCATACACGTCTCTCATACTCTAACCTTCCCATCCAATATATCAGTCCCCTTCTCTTCCACCACATCACTTGTTCACCCTGAATATATTAGTATAAAATGTCCACATCAGTCTCATAGTTCCTCATAGTTTGTAGACAACAATATTTGCTGCTTTAGACATCCTTTTAACATGAAAATGGCTAGAAGATTCAATATTTGTTTGTGGAGACTGGCTGCAGCAGGTGGGGCAGCCTGGAGCAGAAGCCATCAAAACCAGTTGGCTGATGGTGGCTGATTACTGGGCAATGTGGGTACAGGATCCCCATTGGCACAGCAGACAGGGATGCAATGTGTTCAGAAAACAAGTATCACAGTGTTTTTTTTCTACAGATTTTATTTCAGTGCAACTTCCATCACCCTCAATTTGGTGTGGATTGCTGAGGATGGTGAGAGTTGCATCCCTAAATCAGCAGGAGAGGCCTCTTCATCTCTTACCTGCTATTGCAAACCTTTGCCTCTTCATCTCTTACCTGCAGCAAGGGGCCTATAGGGAGCCTCATCAGTAGAATATTGACCATGGCCAAAGAAGCACACATAAGGGTTGGGGGGAATACAAAGAGAGACACATTGGGGCTTGAATTGAACAAAGGCACACACACAGTGGGGCTTGGGTTGAACAAAGGTACACACACATTGGGGCTGGGGGACAAAGACACTGACACAGAGGGACTAGGGGGGACAAAGACACAAACACAGAGGGGCTGGGTGGGCAAAGACACGCACCTGGGAGTTGGGGTGGCAAAGAGACACACAGAGGGTCTGAGGGGGACAAAGAGACCCACAGAGAGGCTGGGTATGACTACAAAGAGACCAACAGAGGGGCTGTGTGGGAGAAAAAGAGAGTTGGGAGAGAAAGTAACACACAAACCTTCTTTTCGGTAATAATTATCAAAGCAAAACCAGAAGAATTGCAGACAAAGGGCTACATTTGGAGCACTTACAAAACTATAAAAGCATGTTGCTGCTTCAGTTTTGCGTTGACTTGGACATATACATGACTTTTTTAATGTTCCGTGTTTTCTCTTCATTTTGCATCCAACATCTATTGTACACTTCTTCCTCTTTCTCTTTCCAGCCCATAATGTTTTATTTTCAGCAGAGTACAAGGGAAATGTACTTGCAACATCAGTCAGAAACCATTTTGATCTAACAGACTAATCTAATTACTAGTTATAAATGTTTTTTTTTTACCTGTGTAAATATTATTTGCTTGTTGACATAGTATTAAATCTTTTTACATCTCTGTGTAAGTAAGACATCATTCCCCTATGTATGTACACAACATTACTATGGAGACTAGGGTGCATCTCAATGATTAATAATGGGAGTATGTCCAAATTAAACAGTGACAGCTCCAGACATCTGACATATTAACAGATAGCATCAATATTTACTTTAAACGATTACAAAATAGAATGAATTACAACATAATGGTAACATTGGCATTGTATCCCAAGCTTACCTTTCTTAATATTTGCTCAAGGCTTATAATTATAATAATGGTAGGATGAAACAGGGTGTTTGGAGAGTCTCCTAGCATTTATTGACCTAATTCAGGGGTGCCCAAAAAGTGGATCCCCAGAAGTTTTTAAACTACTGCTTCCATGATGCTTTGTCATTCTAAAGGCATGCAAAGTTTCATGGGAGTTGTAGTTCTGGGGATCTTCTTTTTGGTCATCCCTAATGTAATTGGTATAAGACCTAGGCATCGTCACATTTAAAGAAACCTTTAATACCAAAAGTTATATAGCTTGCTGTAGTGGTTATGGTGCCAGGAGTGCCCTGGTTGCCTCCACAATATAAGTAGTCAAAGAGGCAGAAAGCAGTGCCCATTGGAAAACAGTTTTACTACTTATACTGAGGGGAGAGGGAGGGGTTGCCAGGACATGCTGTAGTGATTATAGTGTTTGGAGTGTACCTTTAAAGAGGGACTGTTACTTCTCCTTTTATGGCAGCTAAATATTTTTTGACTGTGATAACTTTTTTTTTTGTGATGTATTTTTATTTTTAATTTAGGTTACATACTTTGCCAGCCCGGGCAAAGTATTTAAATGAGTTTACTCTCATAATGCCGTACATACGGTGTATGGCACTGAGAGAGAAAATTCTAAGCTAATTTGCATAATTAATTATACATACATGACATCACTGGACATGATGTCACCAGATGTCCCATAACATTACAGGTAGTGACATAAAACAATGTGTGTACTGTGTTTATGTGTGTACAGCAGTGTGTGTCGATGTATTTGTGGCAATGCAAATCATATATAATTGATATACACGCGATATTATTCCAATGTTCATTTTAGGTAACAGAAACATAATAAATCATTATATGGTCAGGTATGTAGACAGTGTGTAGATATCTACCAAACGCATGCAACCAGAAATAAAACATAACTTTTTTTATTAATACACTGAACAAAATTATAAACGCAACACTTTTCTTTTTGACCCCATTTTTCATTAGCTGAACTCAAAGGTCTAAGACTTTTTCTGTGTACACAAAGGGCCTATTTCTCGCAAATATTGTTCACAAATCTGTCTAAATCTGTGTTAGTGAGCACTTCTCCTTTGCCGAGACAATCCATCCACCTCACAGGTGTGGCATATCAAGATGCTGATTAGACAGCATGATTATTGCACAGGTGTAAAAACAAAGAGAACGTTACCTGCGCTCTGGCCTAAATCCCTATGTACAATTAAACAAAATGGAGGCTCTTTAGTTTCATTCCAGTGGCAATTTGAATATAATGTCGCCTGCCACGTCAAGGCAAGCCTCAAAAGGTGAGTACTACACTAGCCA